ATCCAGGAAGAAGTGAATATTGGTTGATCAGCCTGCAGGTAGGGAGTGAGGAGGATTCATTTGTGGAAAATCAGGGGTGAGAGATACCCCAACTAACCTCCATGTCTCTCCTCCTGGTTCTCCTCAATAAACTGAGAATGTGTTGCTCCACTCTGGCTCCTCCATAAATATTCTAACTAGACACCAGCATGGCGGAGGGGAATTAGCTTTAGTTTGAGAGAGTGAGCGGATACAGAATATAAATCTATGTAGTACACAGGCGCTTACAGTGTTCACTGTCAACACCAGAGTGTTCATGTCTACGCATGACACACACCACTTTAGCTGCACAGATCGAGCATGACACCCAAACTCTACTCCTCCTCCTCTTCTCTCTGTACGCGTTTAAAGAGTATATGTGTGCTCATGCACATTTCCACACGTGTGCATGCTGGTTTGTGTCGATCGATGACCTTGACAGCAGGTGGGTGAACTCCCAGGTGTGTCCCAGTTTTAGTGGGAGGATCAGAGGCAGGTGGGACTGCGCCTGGCTTGATGTGTCCAGATTAATGAGCTTCTCCTCACTCACATCAGCTGCTACTGCGGCTGCATGAGCCAAGCTGGAATCAGGGACATAAGTCCTGGCGTGGCCTTCACTGGACTCATTTATATTGTCCCACAATTGTGCCGCTGCTATTATACGGTGCCAGCTCCATATGAAATTTGGATAAGTAAAAGGCATTGATGTATTGTTTCTCTTGTAACAAAAGCTGCCTTTGTTCTTGGGATATTAACAGTGATCATTCCCTAAAAGTGCTCACTTTGCTGTTAGTAGAATCCTGTTGAAATTTTGGAAGTGTAGCTTGGCCAGGTTTAATGGTGAGAGGGACCACTGGACTCCACACAATATAAACATTACGAGACACAATCAGTGACATCAGCCAACTAAGTTATGAAAAATCTCAGTAATAATGGCTGATGAGTTTGAATGGGCTGCTCATTTTGCCTGGTTTGATTTCTATCACTAAGCACCACAGAGAGGCAGACAGGGAGGCAGACAGAGAGAGAGAGAGAGAGAGAGAGAGAGAGAGAGAGAGAGAGAGAGAGAGAGAGAGAGAGAGAGAGAGAGAGAGAGAGAGAGAGAGGCAGAGAGAGAGAGAGAGAGAGACAGAGAGAGAGAGGCAGAGAGAGAGAGAGAGAGAGAGGCAGAGAGAGAGAGAGAGAGAGAGAGAGAGAGAGAGAGAGAGAGAGAGAGAGAGAGAGAGAGAGAGAGAGAGAGAGAGAGAGAGAGAGAGAGGCTACACGGCGAGCACGGCTGCCCACAGTAACCAGACCCGGCTTGGGATAAACAAAAGTTGACCCCAGTGACCTCCCTCATTAGCAGGATGAGATGGAAGACGGAGCAGGGACAGCGTGCGTTGTGTGGGTTGGCAAACAACCTCAGAAAGCAACAGACACATAAGTCGTGGATGAGCCAGAGGAGAATGATAAAAAGAAGCCTCTCGTGACTTGACCAGCAGAGTTGCTGGATTTACGCGGCCATTATCTCGGCTCCTCACGCTGAGATAAGAATAGAATATCTCTTAAAAAATAAATTTAAAATCCTTCAAATGTGGCTGTTTACTGAGGGAATTTTGTGAAATTTAGATTTTACAGTTGTTAATGAATTGTTAAGTTTTCAGATGAAATTTTCTATTTTGAGACAGCAGCTGTTGAATGCTTGAGTCTAGTATTTGAATAATCCATTAATTAACAGAGAAATTAGTATATATGGGATTTGCCAACTTTTCCAAACCTTTTATTCTGGGAACACTTGTGCTTGTAGCTAAATTAACTCATTCTCATCCAAATTACAAAAAAAATCTATAATTAATCTTTTTTTTCCTCTTAGAAATAAGAAATGACATTTTTGGATTTTGCATAGCTCTGTCCAGTAATGTGATATCAAGACATTAATGATAATGTATTTATCTTTTCTCATTGTTAGATGATTACACCTTTCGCAGGTGTGGAGCTGAATGACAACACCTATGTCCTTCAACAATTCATGTTGTCTGATCGAGTGAAAATCTTTATTCCACACCAAATCAGGTAGAAGGCAGGTGAGATCTTCATCAAGATAGAAACTCAGAAATCCAACAAGTCAACATTTCTTTCATAAAAACATCAGAAAAAGGGGATTTTATCTCATTTGTGTGTAAAAATATGTTTCTAAACTGACAGTTTTTTAAAAAACGGAACTAAACTGTTTCTCAAAGTCAAAGTCTTACATGCAATTACATTAAATAAAATTATTATAAGCTGTTAATAACACAGAAACAGCTCAAAGACTGTGCTCCTCACTGGTTTCATTGTAAACTTAATTATGTCTACTTGAAATGTCTGTAAAGGTTGTTTACGAGACGTTACTGCGATTCTGATTTATTTGTAGCTTTTCTAATGTTGGACTGAGTAACAAACTTTAGGTCTTATTGGTGTTCTTCTCAGATTTTATATTGATTACTTTTTTCTGCATCACACAGAAACATGTCAGCGTGGAGTCCAACAGCAACAACTGTTCCTTTGAACCAGAATTGCAGAAAGCAGCCAGCTAGATTAAATAAAGCACTGAATTAGTGACTTGAGTTTTATTCACTGGGTCCACTTTTTTGCAATTACATGAAAGATTTCACATATAGTAACAATGTGGCAGCAAAAGTTTATCATAAGTCATGTTGGAATGCGATAATTTCGGAGCGATATCTGCAGCTGCGAAAACGACTGGATCTTTGTAAAAGTTTTAACAAGCAGCAGGGTGATAAAGTCATGAACACCCAGGGAGCACTGACCTCTCGGTCCAGGCCGGCAGCCACCGTAACGATGTCTCCAGTCTCGCTGTTGATGGTGAACATGTTGGAGATCGGAGTCTCGGGGATCTGAGACAGGATGCGGTAGCGCACCATGCCGTTAGCGGTGGTGGAATCGTCAGAGTCTGTTGCTGTCACCTGCATCACAGAAGAACCTGGGATGACAAAAACAAGGAAATAAAGAGTGAATATGACACATTTAATTTAATTTTTATATTAAATTTAAAAAACAACAACAAAAAAAGGATGAACAATTAATCAAAAAAATGAAAGACATGTCCTTTAGACATTTAAAACAAAGAGAACTTCATTAGTAAACTGGGAAATATCAAAGAGCACTCTGAGATGACTCAGACACAAAACTCCCGCATGAACTTGAAGCAAGTCAATCAAATACTCAAAATTGCTCTGACATTCTCTGTTCTGGTAAGAAAAACAAAACAAAACTTTTTTAGAGGACGAGCCAGAGCAGCACAGAGAACACAAGTCGGCTAAGTGAGCTCGTGTTCCGAGCCGTACGGATTTGTCGTCGGTAGAGCTCCCACCTCGGTAGAGGCCATTTAGAAATGAGCAGCACAGGGTTTTCCACTGTTTCCACCATCCATTATTCCAGACTTCAGCGGCGCCGTGGCTGCTCTTAATGCTTTGATACTCTCTCCCCATTTGTCTTAGAATCACAGATAAACACTGTCATTTAAGGCTGACTCACAGAGGCGGTGAGACCGAGGGGACGTTTTTAACCATCGCCGTGTGCTTTGTGTATCTACGTTTATTTCCAAGCTGCGTTTGTGCATCTGTATGCATGTGGTTGCTTGTGTCATGCATGTAGCGGGGTGGGGGTTTAGGCTGAGGAGAGGAGCCCCCGTGTCCCAGAGCACGATTATTGATTTGCACAAGTTTGTCAGCTGGGCTCACAAATGCGACCAGGCAATTAGGAGCACTTTGTGCTGAAAAGAGGAGAGATCACCTCGCCTCTCTCTCAGGGTTCTGTGAAAATGTCACTTTCCATCAGGGAGCCATTTACAGGCTGCTGCTGCTGAGAGAAAAGGGAAAGGAGTGTCAGCTTGCAGGAGACGGAGAAAGAAGAGAGAAGGTTGGAGAAATGGAAAGATGTTTTGAAGAAAAGAAAATCAAAAAGGAAAAACAGGGATGCTGGTGTCTAGATGTGAGAAAAACAGGAAACCTCAGGAATTCTTGAGAAAAATCTGAACCAGAACAGACTGCTTGCAACAGTTTGTGTGTTATTTTAAAATATGCCAGACTCGTCTACTGGAGGGAGCCGGGTTTGCTTTCAAACCTTCCAAATCAACGACGTACACGACGCCGACAAGCCGTGGACTTGGCGGTTCCCCGTGGGTCCGATCACTTACAGGGGTCCCCATTCCTATAATTGGGTTTCGATGGCACCATCATTCCTGTGACAGCCTGCATGGACAGGATAATTGTAGCCTCAAATTCTATTTCAAACTTCATTACGTTTCAAAGCAGGATTTGTTGCTCTGACCAGCAAGAAAAAGAAAATTGTCCAAGGAAAGAGGAGGAAAGTAGGGGAAAAAACAATTACAATACGGAGGGCAGGGTCACTATGTAATGAACCTCTTCAGTCCTGAATGTGGAGATGAGCCTCAAGTTGGTGCTGCTACCTCTTATTTCAACACGGAGGATTCTGTGGTATGATAACGGGTCGTGTTCCGGCCCAAAGAGGGAAGGCTATGCCCGCGAGGGTAAACGGAGCCTGCTTAATTCCTATTTAATTTGATCACTAATTCCAAATCCTAATTGCTTTTCTGCTGAAGTCACTGGACCTGAAAATTTGGTGGCAGTTGCATATATCGTCGGCCATTTTGCTCATGCAACCAGGCATTGCTTGTGAGGTCTATCTGCTGAACATTAATCAGCCCGAGTCCACACCCGCCTTCAAATTAGGGACATAAAGAAAACGCAGACAGACGTACACAGAATTAACAGAAAGTGGAGATTTTGGACTCATTCTGGGAGGTGAAAATTACAAGAAAGAAGAGATGTTCTAAAGAGCTCTAAAAGGAAAAGTGCGAGGGGAAGTCAGGGAATGAGAGGGAGAGGGATGGACCGTGTGAGTGGATAATGGTTTCTCTTCAGGGGAGAGAAGATATAGGGTGCCTCTCAGACGGAAAAAACGTCCGTGATACAAGAGAGGGTGAGAGAGAGGTGGAGAGGTTGGGGAGGTAAAAGAAACTCAATGAATCTTGGTGGAAATGATGAGGGGGGGAATTGTTTTTGTCCACAAGAGCCTCTAATGGTATCCACCACTGCAACTGAGGTGTGAAACTGGTGCAAATCATCCTTTTAGAATCTGTTTCTTCGTGCTAAGTTGTCTTTTGTGAACCTTTGAGCAGAGGCCAGAGAGGCAGACAGTCAGAAAAGCCACCAAAGCCAAACCTTGTGGGAAAGCGGTAGAAACCAAAAGAGGAGGAGTTACTTTAGATCTGGCTGCAGTCAAAAACATTAATATTAATCAGCTGGTAGTTTGAGAACTTTTCTCCTGGTTAAATCAGTTATGAATATCAATAACCTAATTAGCAATGTAGAGGAAGAGCTGTGTATTTGGTGAGTCATAATTACATTTGTTTTAAAGCTCTCAGTCACTTGTATCTTCAACAAATCTGCTGTGGTCACTAGTTTCAATTAATGCCTTATGAATCTTTTTTTTTTTTTTGTGGAAAAAAGTTTGTGGCGCTCCTGCTTCAGGAAGTAGAAGTTAGCGAGGGGAGTGAGGAGCAGAAGACAGCAGGATTTGGAGTCTCACTCATGACATCTCACCTCTGATTGGCTAACAGCAACAAAACCCTGCTCTGCAACATGGATGTTTTATCTCCACAAATACCACAAGCCTGAAGGAGTTCTGCTGTGTGGTGGAGTTGTTAATGCTAACGTTTAACTTCTGTTAGCTGAGCCAATCTCTGCTGTTTCCTGGATGCTCAGCCAACAGCAGCATTCCATGAATGTCAACAGCATTCCATGAGTCCATGCATGTTTAGTTCCAGTGTGACGTAGATCTGTGTGGCTTTTTCTACCCTGATTGTCTGTCAGCAGCTAATGCAGGAAATAGGGCTAGAAGACTATTTACACGTTCTGCCTGCATGTTAAAAAATAACTAAAAATCAACTTGCTCTGTAAGTATTTTCTCAGTAAAGCAGGTAAAACAGAAGACTGACATCATTATGTTATTAATGTTTTTAATCAGGACTCACACAGTTCGTAGTGTAACGTGAGGAAATATGGGTTTTCTGTGCCAAAGGTTATACTTGGCCCGGCTGGGTCAAAGCTGGGTCGCTGAGAACTTTCACCCACAGATTACGACCTGAACGCCAGCGAGTCTGGGAGAAACCATAACACCTGAACACCTGCAGTGCCAGAAGATGTGTTCTCATGGAAAAGCTAGTCATAACATAACAAAGTCTTGAACTTCCTTTCCTTTATTTTAAGTTGTTAAATGATCAGTATTATCACTTTGCTCATTATAAATGTGTTTTAATCAAATGAATGATTATTATGCTTTGGGTAATCATAATAACTGATGAATCAATGCTTACTTAAATAATGTTTTGAGGATGTTTGGTAACGACCTTCACACATTCAAACACTCACTCAAACACTCACACACACACAAACTCTCACAGTAAACTCCAAAACACATTTGCTCTGACGCGCAAGTTTGCTTTGAGAAGAGAAAGGCTTTTGGTAAGTTTTCAGTCCATGATTCAGTTCGTGTTTGACAACCAAAGAGGGAGGACTTGTGAACAACGCCAACGGGGAACGGGGCTGCGGCTCCCCCCCCCCCCCAAGCTGTTCCTGCCAAGCCAGACAGGAATAGCTGAATTGCAACCGCTAACGCAGACTCATCCAGAGTCTTTTGATTTCTGAGTAATTAAACTCAAGAAAGCGCATCTGCAAACGCTTCATCATCACGTGTACCGGGGGGCATCTCTGGACCGGATCGCCGTACACCTTCGTCTCCTCTGCCAGCCAAAGTGTGTCCTGGATGAAACATCGTCCTTTGACATTCCGGATCTTAATGAGGGTCCTCGTACGGTGAGGCAGAACACAATAGATAGCGTTTGATGCATCTTTTCCAACAAAACCTAAGTTTAGTCAAACCATCACTTTTCACTCAGACACCTGTTTCTTCCTGAAGCAAAATCAGACGCACACATGCCTTCATCTCACCTCATTTTCAATTTTCACACATTCAACACAAGGTCTATTTGAGCAAGCTTACAATATCAACTGTTAAAGATTGTTCAACAAAGTTGCCAATGTTGATTGTTTTTCCTATGCTTGTCATTTCAAAATCATTAGTTTAATTTGAAGAATTAAAACTTTTAACTTTCAAACTTGTCTCTTCATTGAACTGAAACACAGACCCACGGATATTATCGACAGTTTATCGATGAAAACAACCTTTGAGTCTTCTTAAAACTATCAAATTTGGTTATTAATTTATTAAAATTAATATCTCAAATTAATATGTAGAATGGTTCCTCTTTCATAAAAGAGCCTAAACCATTACTCTACATAATTGACAGAGCCTACCCAGGTTCACTACAGTAGTAAAGTGTGTGTGTTTGGCTCCGTCAGGAACGCAGTTTGCTTTAAATGTTTTTTCTTTCACCAGATCCAGTCTTCTATTTGACATGTAAAACTAGATTTAAATGTTTAAAACATTTTGGCTTTCACTCTAAATCTGGCTGATTTCAGCCTGAAGATCTGTTCAGCCCAAGAATGATCCCTGGAGTCTCACACACTCGCTCCAGTAGGCTGATGTGCACATCTAAGCAGCAAACAGAGACTAAACTCCAACTTTTATGAACTCAGTAGTGATTTAGGGAACATGTCTTACTCTACTACATCTGGTGCAGAGTGAGAAAAAAAGGTGCAGCTCTGTTCAGTTTTAATTTCAGCTCCAACCAGCAACAAAAACACAATAAATGACACAAAATCATCATTATCCAAATTATTTTGTCACGTTCAGCAGGAGTGCTTTTATTTAATCATGACTACTAAAATCTGTGAATTTTCTCCCCTTTCCAAAGGGTAAACTTGTTTTTTATTTTTTTTTCCACAAAAATCACAGTGAGTGAAAATGGCAGAATGAGGGCAAAACCACTGGCAGTGT